GTGTATTGTTGTTGTTAGCATCTGGTGCTAGCTAGCTGCGCTAACGGATATAAGGAGCTGTTTCAATGAAAACAGAGGAGCGACATTTCGCCGACAACTGCGCCGAGCACTTGACTTTATGCAGGCAGCCAGACAGTGGGACATTGTACGAAAAGTCAGCACACTCGGCACGGATAGTGCGCGCAACATGATTGCAGCGTCCAGGCAGCTCCCGTTCGAGCATATGCCTTGAGGAGGGGACAATTGAGTATTGGGAAACCTCTACTGTCCTTATTGTGTGGGAAAAACTTTGGGATTTTGGCCTTTGTAGACCATTCATATGCACAAACATCTATATAATACACCACAGGAAAGGGAAACCCTCTTAAAAAGAATACTTTTACGTATTTATTGTAATGACTACAGAGGAGCTACAGTGTATCCTTTGGCTTGTCACTAAAGCAGGTGTACTGTGAGGAACAGTCTCAAATGAAGGCATGCAGGTATATCTCAATACAGCTGTAAGTCAGTAACACTTCTCCAGAGATGCATGGTTGGCGGCTGCTTGGAAGCAGTAACTGTCCCGCGAGAGGAAGCTTATGGTTTTGCATGCTTTCCAAAAGAAAACCCATGAAAGCAACATTACAGCTATTGCTACTAAGCTTGGCAATGTAAGCACCAAGAGCATCTTGCTGCGATCACATTTTTCAAATAAGCCAATAAAACATTTTAGCTATGTTTCCAGTGACAGTGACATTTAGCCAGGAATCGCATGATGCAGATTTCTTTCAATATTATTGCAGATCTGCTGTAAGCTAGAGCTAGAAGTAGCTAACCAAGTCATTTCAAATATACTGACAAAACACTTGAAACAGACTATTATTGGCCAATTTTATAATCCTCGAATGTCAACAAGTGTTTATAACTGTGTGCATCACTTTTTACTGTCCCCGTTTCCGTTGTGTTTTGTATTTGCAGTGTTTTCTTTATTTTCGTTTATGCAGCACATGTTTCGTGAAGTGTATGAATATTTTCTAAATGCAGCACATTCTTCATTTCTTCATGTGGTTTGGCACATTTTAGTTTTTGTCATCATTGTTTTTGAAAGTGCAGTGCGTTTCTCCAAATGGAAATGTATTGGGCCGTGTTTGCACATGTTTAAAAAATGACTCCTATAAGATTTGCATGGGCCACAGAAACGCACACACACACACACACAGTCATAGCGGGGAGTTCCTGTGCTCTTCTTGTTACAGGAAGAGGGAGCGTGGCAGCGTTGATCTCAAAGTTGATCTCTCTGTTGATTCAAGCGGAGGAAAGGAAAGCAGAGGAGGAAAAACTCTGAATTAAGATACTAAATGTTTGTAACTGAGGATGAGAGTGTTTGCCAGACAGGAGATGAGGGTGGTGGATGGTTTTTAAATGATCATTTAATTTGATTCACCATTATCCTTATAGTTGTTCTTAAATGAAGGCAAACTGCAAACACAGAGCACAACGCTTAGTTTTTGGGTGTACTTTTGTAAAACTCCACTTTACTGCAACTTTTGCTACTTTCTGTCTGTCTTCACATTTACGAAATGCTTCATATTACTAACTGCATGGGCAGAACAAGCACCTCTTTGTGGAAGTCATGGACAAGGAGGCACTTTTACACGCCCACATACCACAACCCACCACTCCCCCTCCCTGTCAAACGAGAGATGTTTTTCTATGTATTGTGGGTGTGTGAGGAACCTGTTGGCTGTGCATTCACTGTGAAACCCAGCAGGTAAGTGAGAGATAAACAGATGCACTTATCCCTTTCTGATAGACTTAAGAATGGGGAAATAGAAAAGGAGTTGCAAAAAAAAGAATTTGAAGACCTGAGGAAAAAATGAAAGATGCTTGAGTAAGATAAAGTCAAACAAAGAAAGGAGAGGAGGGGGGGTTGTTAATGGGCTGCTGGAGGTGCCAGAGCAGCCCTGCAGTTAAAGTCATCATCATGTGGAGGAGGGGGGGCCTCCCCGGCATTCTGAACACAGCTAATTGGCTGCAGACAGGAGCACTGATGCATCAACCAATCGGGTGCAAGGAGTGGCAGCGTCCCCCTTCCTGTCATTGGTGCTTGGCCCCTCCCACCCTGTGAGGTTTAAAAGCAGGGGAAGGCTGTGTGCTGTTTCTAGAATGTTCCACTTCCTCCTCTGAATCCTCTCCCTCTTTGCTGCCTTTTTTAAAAACAGCTTTGAAATAGACAACCTATTCCATTTTTGTGTTGCCCTTCATCTCTTGGCAAACTGTTTCACTCCCCAACACTGTGGATGAGTGTTGCATGACTCGATCTCCTGCTGGACTGACTTTATCACCTGGTCTGCTCTCTGTCCAGTGAGAATAGCATCTGTTCCCTCTTCACATCATCACACAGAACTGACTCTCACTGTTAACACTAGGTATGTATCCAGCCATGAATTGTTCACCTGTGCCTCCTGTGCTCAGGTCTTTCCTAGGGTGTCGTGTTGGAAACATTTTTGACTTTGTGTTAATGTTTTTGCAGGACAGAAGTGTCCTATGTGTGTGTGCTTATTGTTCAGCTAGGTCAAGTTCGGACACACTCAGTGAAGGTGCATGCCTGTCCTAGAAATAGCCCGTAGGGCACTACTGTTGTGCCACATAGACTCTTGAGGTTATCTTCTGTTGTATCTGTTTTCTGCATTCATTCCATCAATGGTTTTAAAACTGTAGTCTTCCACGGCAGTAAAGAGTAGCATGGACTGAGACAAGCTGACAAAACTATATATAATACATATATATATATGTATCAGACTGACTTGGAATAATCAACAGTAATTTATATAATGATTACATTTTGTTTTAAAATAAATGTGTGTTGAAATCTAGTGAAAAGTCTGTTTTTACTGAGACTTAAATTAAAGCATATTCCCGAGTGACTAGAAAGCAGTGACTGGGCATTTATTTTGAATGTCCTTGAGGATGCATAACCAGTTCTCAAATTTGTATTTTTCACCCAGTATTTCCTGGCAGTCCTCACTAGTAGAACAATATCTCTTCTCGACTTACTTCCTCACTGTCACCACGTGTTTCCTTCTGTCAGCCATTTAGTTGATCCAATCATCTGTCAGTCTTTATGAGGTCTGTCAGTTTTCTGTCATGATCTCTCATTAGTCCTCTCACTTACTTCCTCTCTTGGTGAAACACAAAATACTTGTGTGTGTAGCCTGCAAGGTCACATTTCACTGGTGCTTTATATTACCCAGAAGTCTTAAAGCCTTATAGCATGTGTGAAAGTGCATGTGCACACACACATACACACTCTAGGCTTTCGGTGAAAGTTACTGTTAACACTCAGTTCAGTGCTACCCGCTAATAGCAGATGATGGTGTCCGTAAACACTCTCCACATTGCCAAATTGCAGGGGGTTGAGAAGGAGAAGTGGGAGGCGACAAACACACAGTTGTCAGATTAGTTGGTCAGAGCGGAAAAGTACTGAGAGGCAGTGATATGAAGAGGTGTGAGTGTGGGGAGGCTTTCGTAGTGATATGGGTTGTAGCTGAGCCTGTCCCAAGATGCTCTTCTGCATCTGTATGAAAGAGAATAACACATGTAATATTTATATTATTTAGTGTGTATAGGAAACATACAGAAGTTCAAATGAAATGTCCAACTTATAAATGCACCATAAAGGCTTAGTACAATCTTAAGGGCTAATAAACGAGTGCAGGCAATTTAAAAAGTAAATGGGAATAATATTTCCCTATTTTTGGGGTACATATTATATGGCGTCTTCCTGATGGGGATTTGTGTGTTTGGTTTGCATCAAAATTACATTCAATTGCAAAAGAGTTATGGAAAGTTACCAGATGCTGAGTAAGCACATTGCAGACGTTACATTTTTGGGAAATTACTTTGTGCTGATGCCTTCAGTTGATAAGTTCTTGCATGACGACAGGGAGATGATAGCTTTCTCAAAAACCTTGATGCCTTGCCTGTGTGTCTGTACACAGAGATAGGCGTGTGCTTATCCAACTGATAATGTAGCCAGGAAGTGTGACACCAATTGACAGAGCCAGGACAATGAAGTGTGCTTCATGCACACTCCAATTTACCAAAAGTATACCTCAAGAAGTTTGGGGAATCATTTGGGTGACATTAGGTGCTGGGGGTGGTATGCTTGTTTTGTCCGTGTTGATCAACTAGTAACATGGAAGTCAATGGAGAAACTCTTCAGACTTGAACAATCTTCATGCGACTTCAACTGCTAACTGCTCCTTCTTCAACTGCTAACTGCTCCTTCATACTTTCACTCAGAAACCTCATTCCAACTTTAAAATGTTACACATCTTTCTGACATTATTCGTGTAACACAACTTTTAAATCTGATGCGTACTTTTAGAGATATTAAACATTGTTCAGACCTTGGTAAAGAGGCCTTCTTCAGATTTAGAGTGCGTGATGTCACAGCTAGAGTGGAGGACAGATTTAATTTTGCCTTCATATTTTCTTTTAAACCTGCCATAATTCCCAAACCCTACATTCCTGAGACATAATCTTTCATGAGAAATGTAGGAAAATATCTCGTAGCTTGAAAAATAAAAAAAATTAAGCAAAATAATTAAACAAAATGCCTCTTGAGGGCATGAAGTGATAAAAACGTTCAAAAAGTGCTCAAACTTCACATGTGTGCTAACAGTCCAGCCGTGAAGACATCTACGGGACAGTTTTGAGATTTCTTCAAATGCCGTTGTCATGGCAACACAATGCTCACCATGAAACACGGTTTTCTCATAACTTCAGTGAAAATGCTCCAAACGGCCCAAAACTTCACAGGTTTGTAACGATGCAGCCATCAACGCATCTAAGCGTATTATGGGATGTTATCAAATGCCGTTGGCATGGCGACAGATCATTCGCCATCAAGTTAGTTAAAAAGTTTGCAGTTCAAATATTCTGCTGCTTTTCCAAGCCTTTTTACTTTATTTTCTTCTCTCATCACACATTCAAGCCCCCAGTGTTCATGTATCATTTCAATCTAAATTCTTCACTTTCTTCTTACACATTACATTTCAGCATAGCAGTTTAGCGTCAGCTTTTCAGCATAAAGCATTCCCACTAGCAATTTTTTCAGGAATTGCATTCTCTAGTTCTAATTGTTTTCCCAATACTGTGAAATCTTAGAAAATTGCTATTGCTTCTCTTTTCCACATAAATATCACATTTGCAAACCAAATTAATAACAAAGACCTCTCAACCAAGTCTACATTGTTAATGCTCTGGTACAGACCATGATAGATAAACAATGTATTTGTGAATGTGAGAGCGAGATCCTTATGGAAACACTTTCATCACATTGAAAATAGAGGGCAAGGGAAGTGTGTTTACGTGAGTGTGGTGAGGGGGAAATATAATGGGGTGTTTTTTTAGACTTCGCAATAGGTCAATAGGCATGCATATGCATTTGGAAGGACTCCAGGTCTCCATGCGCTCTATGAAATATATTGAATACTGTTACAGAGTGAATCGGAGGCTCACCGAAATAGCCTGGACTTTGAAGTGCTGCCAAGCTGAGAATAACTGAGCAAACAGTTGAGCAGAAGGAGGAAGGCATTTACAAACTGTACTGTAAAGCTTCATAAATGATAAGATGTACCTTCAGCAAGAAATACAATGATTACTTATACTGTTAATGTTGAATGGTGACTCATACTAACAAACCGAGTGAACAGTCGTCCGTCTCGGTAATGCTACAGAGCCTTTTAGCTTGTCATTTTAATGATATTGAACATTAAATATATGGTTAAGTCTTGCTGTTCTCATTTATCTCTGTTCCAGCAACACCAGGAAGCTTTTTTTTAAAGGAGAAAAGCGATTATAAGCTAGCTGCTCAGCACCAGACATCAGAAAGACAAAGTTAGCAATTAGCTAGCAGACATAAGCTAGAGGTTAGCTAGAAAGCCTATCATCATTATTATTATTAGCAGACGCGTAACATTTTTGTATCGTAGGAATGTAAATGATAAAAGGCAAACTTGATATACAAGTTTTCTCAGAAGCAGCACTAGCAGAATTGGTGTGGACACCGCGCTCGTGCGACCCGCAGCTGTTCAGTGGGGTAGCTATCACGTGCTGGCTCGAGCGTCAGGCAGCAATATGTCCTGTGTCCTCCATTATTCAGAACACTTCGTTACTAAAAAGGGCAAATATCACAGGTGCAAATCATGACAAAATTCAAAGGACTTTCATGGGAATTTCTATTTGAACAGTTCCTTTGTTTTACAAGAGGACATACATATTCCAGCATTCCATAGTGAATTGTGCCAACCATGTGTTGCATAAGGCCCATACAAATGTTCCTGGAATCATTAGTTATTTTCTAGAAATGTAATTTGAGTTATGGCTCGGCCTACACAAAACAAACATTCCTGCCAGTGTCTTGAGTCTTGCTTGTTTGGATGTTCTCCCGGTCTAGCAAGCAGTCAACTAATTGGTTGAGCATTAGACTGTCCTTTTTTTGCTTTTTGTTTTTAAAGGGTTGCTTGTACTTGCATCACAGTGAGAATCAAATGTGTACTGCTTTTCTGCTGCTATAAAAGCAAATGTGATGTTTCATTGCATGAAAAACATTGTCCTGCAAAGTATATTGTATCTACAACTGTCAAATCAATGTGTGAGTGGAGTAAAAAGTTCAAAAAGTAAATTAAATATTGTGTCGAAAGTGTATGATTTTTCAAAATGAAGAGTGTAGTACTGTAACGCTCGTGAAGTATTAACTATAGCCTGCAGTACACTTTGTAGAACCAAAACAATAGAGTATCAGTGTTGTAACCGTAAAAATAAGGATTGAGCTCGAACTCTGCAGGGTATGCTATACAGAGTCTGAATGTGCACAAATCATAAAAAACTAAAAAACATGGAACATTTTAGGTTTTCAAGCGTTTATTGACTTTGGCTTCGAGCCACCCCTCACCCATTCCTTCCCAGCCCTCAGATAACACATACAGTACTACACACACACACACACACACACACACACACATTAATTTGCCTCCCACCCGTGTGTTCCTTTAACAAACATTTCCTTTTTTCCCCTCTCCCTTTCTCCCAAGTGTATACGCATTATTTTCTTCTCGGGTTGTATGACTCGAGCCAAAGCATTTTGTATAACAAATGTTTTTCACCACTTTGGGCAGGGGCCCAATATCTTTTCCTAGAAAATGATATGTTTTATTTGTTTCTGTTTATAATAAAGAAAACACGTTTTTCTAAGAAACTGCCTTATTGTGATATTTTATACAGAAAACTTGTCTCAAGTCCTTTACTTTTTCTGGACAGCATCAACACTTAACATGATCCATGTCAACGTAGAGATGTGGGTGCAAACCATAAGTTAGATAAGATAGACGCTTCTTTTGAAACGCAAAGGCATATCTCATATTCTCTTGAAGACCATCTGTCCAATGCACACTTACAGTAAATGCACAGACATAGACACACATATGTACACACTAACGCCACTCTGAGTTGTGTTCATTTACGATGTTTGGGTGGAAACTGGGGCCGCCCAACCACTGAGGACGGGGGACAACATCTGTCCGCCATCTTTGTCAGTGCTGCCAAGTATTATGGTGAGATCCCTTTCGCCTCTCCGACTCTATCCCTCACACCTTCTATTTTTCCCCTCCTACTCCACCCCACCCCTTTTCATCACCTCATCTCCACCCATTTGCAAAGCAAGCGGAGGTTATTTGCGATACTGCTGCCCCCCCTACCCCTCCCACTACAGCCTATTCTTTCTTCACTTTTTTTTTTTTAAGAAGACGTACATGTATATAGTTCCTTTTCCACCTCACTCACCCTCCGCTGTGCGTCGACCTGAATACGAGCTACTGTCTTTTATTCATTAGTGTTTATCATTTGTTTTTGCATTTTAAGCTGTATTTTTGTATTGACATAAACAAGCATAAGACAATCTTTTTTTGCATATTTAATGTTCTATCTATTAGCAACTAATCCTCATGTTTCTTCTTTCCCACAGGAAACGCGTACAGGAGTAGTTTACGATGACTCTCAATGTGCCGGGTCTGGTGGTGATGGCAGGATTCTACCTGCTGATCTTGGGAACAGGCATCTGGGCCTCCTTTCGCTCCAAGAAGCAGGAAAAGAAGTGCACAGGAAATGGCATGGAGATAACGCTACTGGCCGGGCGCAACATCAACTTGCTTGTTGGCATCTTCACTCTCACTGGTAAAGCAGTCCGGGTTTATTTCCCAGTTCCCGGTTTTCAGACGCAATTATGACATAAGATAGTAGAATTAATAAAGAGGACCTATTATGCTTTTATGGGTTTTCCCTTTCCTGTAATGTGTTCTATAGGTTTCTGTGCATGTCAATGGTTTACAAAGGCTAAAATCTCAAAGTTCCCTCCAGAGGGAGTCTACTCCCACACACTCCCTCCATTGGAGACCTTTTTTTTACTTTTGCAACACTACGTAACACTCGCACTCCTATTGCCTAGCACTCCGACATATTGTACAAGATAGGCTAAGGGGCAGGATATCTCTGAAAAGGTTGACCAATCACAACAGAGCTGGCCAGCTAACCAATCAGAGCAGACTGGGCTCTGGTTTCAGACAGAGGGTGAAAAGAGGTGCTGTAGCACAGGCAGTATGAGAAAAATAAAGACCTTTTTTGAACATTAAAGCATGGAGACATGTGACAGTAGAGGCACTAAATATAAATATGAACCTAAACATTTGAAAAATAGGGCCCCTTTAAAGTTTTGAGGAAAGAAGTGGATAACTGACATCTTGGGTGCTTTGTTTAGAAAAAGTGTTTGCGTGGTGTGTATTACAAAGTCAGTAGAAAGCACAAGCATGTGTGGCGTATATGTAATGTTTCCCTTTTAATGTGTGTGTTCACAGCTACATGGGTGGGTGGAGGCTTCATACTCGGTATAGCTGAGGCGGCATACAACCCCACACTAGGCGCAGTGTGGGCTCTGATGCCTGTGCCTTATGTCCTGACCTTCTTCTTAGGTGAGTTGCACCACTGACCATCAAAGTTTATAACTACCATCTTCGTCTTCCCTGCTATTTTATTTTGAGTCCGTCAGCTGATTGCAATCTGGGCCAAAGTAATTGGATACAACTGTGCTGATGACATTTATATAATGGTGCATCATATTGCAAATTAAATATTTAAATGGAACTTTATACAATCTAGCATTAATAGATAGTACACAAGGAGTGAATTGGCTTCCATGCAGGGTTTGAAATGAAGCACTTGTAACTTGCCACAGGCTGGTAACTATCACACACTAGGAAGCCCCACGTGAATATAGATTTACCTCTTTTACCAGTATAATCCTTTTAGGGTATATTATATTACATTTGAGTAGTCAGTAATCCAATTTGGAAGAAAAAAGATTGTCCTTGTCAACATTTAACTTTCAATGCATCTCTTGTTTTAGACTTATAAAAGTCATGTGGGGTAATGACACCTGGATACTAACCAAGCGACAATGTCATTTTCTCGGTTTCTATTTTAATACCAAGCACAAGCATGTGAAGGTTAATATTTCCATCATTATTGATCAATTCAGGAAATCTCTAAAATGAAGTTTCCTGAAGTTTGTACACACATTTAGTAAAATACAATACTAAAATCAACTTGTGTCTTAAGCTGAGGCGTTGTTGACATAACGTTGACATATGGTAACTCCCATCTGATATGCACAAATAAAAGTGTCGCTCAAAGTAAAAATAGGAGCATGAGAAAATCTGTTCAGCATTGTAACTTGAGGCAACAGGTGCAAAGGGAGAGTTCACCCAGAGATATAAGCCCCGTTCCCAAATAGTTCCAGGAAAATTATGGGATAATCATTCAGGCACCGCTAGTGATTTTCATTCAGGCACTACATTCAGAAACATTTCCATCTCACACCATAGCACACATACCATGGCAACAGAAAAGACAGCCAATCGGATAGTAATGCAACACTACTAGATGCCAACTGTCATAAAAGTCAGCACCAAAAGAAGAAGATGATGCCACTCCGGATGTACGTGTATGTTGGTTTGCAGATGCCCTTGGGCCATCAAGACTTTTCCCCATTAGGCGCGTTCACACCGCAGTACTTTTCCCACTTTAGTTCCGATATAGTTCCGAAATGTTGCGTTCACACCAAAAAGAGCCGGAACTAAAATTAGTTCATGAGAACCTTTTCACCCCCTTTTCCGTCCCTGCTAGAGAGCAGGGACTTTCGTGGGAGGAAAAGGTTCCTATGTCTGATTGGCTGGGCGGATTGCAAACCACGCCCCGTAAAACTCCCAAAACGTTTTGTGAAGCCGCCATTTTATTATCCTCGCATTAGCATTATTAGCATTAGCCCAGCGCAGAAACGCAGAGAGACTAACTTATGGCAACACAAAATAAAACATGGGAGCGGTGGAGATGAGGAGGTGTCGGCGTTCTGGCGATTTACTCGGAAGGCTTCAGTAGAATCTGCTGGGAGTCCCAGCAGCTTCTACTGAAGCCAGTCCCCAACTCCGGGGACTTCCGGCCCGGGACTTTGGGCAGCAGAATACGCCGTGAAGTGGTTTGCGGCCTGCCAGTAAACCCAAAGCAGAAGAAGAAGAAGTGACGTCAGCGGCTTCATTTGCCTAATCCTCCCCCAGGGACTTATTCCGGTGTGAACGCGATCTGTACTTAGTTCATGAGAACTAAAGAGTTCTCATGAACTAAGTTCTCATGAACCTTTGTGGGAAAAGTACTGCGGTGTGAATGCTATGGAAATACTTGGAAAACAGACATCTAATCAAATAAATAAACTCCCCAGTTAAAACATTTGCCATTATTTAAAATATTAAGTCCCAAAGTTGTAAAATGCTTTAATAGCCGAATCCAGAATTAGTTTCCCCCTTCCAATCATTTGACTGATCAGACACCAGAGTAAGGTAGCCTCTGGGAGGTGGGGTTTAAGGAAAATGCTAGTCTACAACCTCGATGAGCCACATGCGTATACAGTTGTTTGAATACATCAATGGGCGGATGAGGTCTCTTGTTTTTGTCAGAAACATGGCCGAAAGCTGTTTTTGTCTATCGGCAATGTTCCTGTCATATATACATTTACTATTAAAGAAATGCTAAACCTTAAACAAGTCGCCGAGTAAAATGTCTGCAGAGTCTTGTGATTGGGTCACTCGTTCCAAGTGAAAGCATTCCAATTATATTAAGGGTTAATAGTTATGCATGATTAAGGCGCAGCTGCTTTGAGTGACAGGTGGCTGCCTAACAAGACACTAGTCAACAGTTGTCTGCTCTGAATCATCACCCGTTTTTTGGATTGGTCAGAAGTTTGTCTGAGTTGTCACTGTCAAGATGGCGACAGCCAGAGCCACCCAAATTGAGCTCAGAACAGCTCTTCATGACGTCACGGAGACTAGCTCCGTATTTTGTACATTCTTTATTTACTACACAGTAATACCGACAAGGTCTTGGGGTGGGAAATTTGCGGTACATCATTCTGGCCTTCTTTCACACATGACCTTAAGCTGGAAATGTTCTTAAACATTTCAGGGATTGACTGCATGTGCGAAAGGACCTTAATATCGTCCAGTCCTGAATTCATAGAGCTGAAAAACTTTCGGTAAACATTTGCAACAGGTGAAATCATCAGCCCTCTGTGAGAGTAACAAGAAATGGAAACTCCAAAGTCCCCGATCAGGAAAGCATTCCACAATGTTGGCCAAGTGGATCCATGAGATCAGCTGTAGGTCTTCATTGTGTTATCTGGAAGGAACAGTTGTTTTCTTATTGTACACAACCATTCACCCTCTTCCTTTGTCATTCAATTAGGTTTTGAAACAATAGACATGTTTGGCTTCATCTTTTCATTAATCTATCGTAATTCCTTCCCTCCTTCTCCAGGTGGGTTTTTCTTTGCCAGGCCAATGAGGGAGAACAGATATCTGACAATGATGGACCCTTTCCAGCAGAAGTATGGGAACTTTATGAGCAGTTTGCTGATCCTTCCCGCTCTAGTGGCCGATGTTCTATGGGTGGCGCGCACACTCGTCAGCCTGGGTAAGTTACCTCAAACAGTACAAATGTGTGACACTATAATGTGTGCACACAAATACTTACACCCACACTTATGTAGGCACCCACAGATCTGGGTACACCATGTCCACAAACATAGTAGAAAAAACAGTCAGTTGCTTATGGCTGGTGCTGTTTGGCCCTGAGCTGTAGATAACTGCAGGTGAAAACCAAAAACTAAGCCCTTACAACCTCATAAAATCATCACCACAAACTACAGCTTTGTAAATAAATGCCATTGACAGTCCAAACTGTTTTATTACCCAGCTAATATAATGGAGGACATTTTATTGCCAGGTTGCTCAGTTATTTGGCCCCCACATATTCAGCTGCTCTAGTTTAAGACATGACAAGTTACATAAGAGGTATTTATGAAGTTTAACCAACACTACATAAAAGACATATTTGTGAAGATTACTAATCGTACG